CCGGACACACGGCACCAGCTGCTTTTCATCAGGCCGCTCAGCATTTCCGTAGGCCGCGGGTATCCTCGAAGAGGCTGTTCAATTCGATGGATTGCATGGAATTGCCGGCGACAATGACCCGCTACAGTAGGCACAGCGTCCCTGGGGACGACAGCGTCTGCCTGGCCTATGGGTATCTTCGTTGCCAGTGTGGAGTAAAGTGGAATCCTGTAGCGGTTCGATGATGATGGCGAGCAGCGTGGGATCGCACCGAGAATGAACATGGAAGTGTGGGAAGTGGTCAAGATGAGGCGGAGAGAGCAAAAAGTATAGGAAGTAAGGATTCAGAATGATGGTGAGCTTCTGGAGGCAGCCGTAATATTCAGGCCACTGAGTCCTCCATGTGACGAAGAAGCTCCACGCGCGTCATGCCGCATTTCGTGTGGCATTGCTCTTTCACCTTTCACCATGCTCAGTCGGCACAAATGCGGGGCAGAAAGACGCGGCAGGGACCCCCCGTCTCAGGGTCTCTGGATGACGTCAGCAGCACTTGAAGAGGCAAGAAGGGTGATAAGCACCTGCCTCTGCCTCGCCCCAGCCTTATCGTCACGTGAAATAGCATCATCGGCCAAAAGCTCCGAGCTCGCTTTCCCTCAGCGGCGGAATCTGAACCATAGCTCCAAAAGGCATCCCGCGCGACGCTCGTCTTGGAGAGATGAACTGCGCTGACAAACCGGCCGGATAGGCCTTTTTCTTTTACATGTGTTGGCTAGACTACCTCGATTTCTGCGTCCATCAAACACACAAGGCACCGTCATGACGCTGCAGAAACTCGTCCCCTCGGCCATTCGCCCGCTGCGTTCTTCCCTTCAGTCGACATCGAGGGCCGTCGTGACGACCTCGCGCGCTGCAGCCTTGAGCATTCGCCAGCCAGCCCAGCATGCGCGATGCTTCACCTCGAAACCGCCAAAGGCCGCCGCGGCTGGCGAGGCTTCGAACCCGGCCATGGCCTTCCCCTGCCTCGACGCCCTAGAGACCCGATCCGCGACCCTGCGAGCGAGCTTTGAGTCGAGCGGGCCCGAACCCTCCTACACATCTGGCGCGACGCAGACATATCACTGCCAGGAGCCTCTCGTCCTCGACTGGGGCGGCATGCTGCCCGAATTCAAGATTGCGTACGAGACGTGGGGCGAGATGAACGCCGACAAGTCCAACGTCATCCTCCTGCACACAGGCCTCTCGGCCTCCTCCCACGCCCACTCGACCGAGGCCAACCCGGCGCCGGGCTGGTGGGAGAAGTTCATCGGCCCCGGCGGCCCCCTCGACACGGACAAGTACCACGTCATCTGCACAAACGTCATCGGCGGCTGCTACGGCTCGACGGGACCCAGCAGCACCGACCCCGCCGACGGCCAGCACTACGCCACGCGCTTCCCCATCCTGACCATGGAGGACATGGTGCGCGCCCAGTTCCGTCTCCTCGACAGCCTCGGCGTCAAGAGCCTCTACGCGAGCGTCGGCTCCAGCATGGGCGGCATGCAGTCCCTCGCCGCCGGCGTCCTCTTCCCCGACCGCGTCCGTCGCATCGTCTCCATCAGCGGCTGCGCGCGGAGCCACCCCTACAGCATCGCCATGCGCCACACACAGCGCCAGGTCCTCATGATGGACCCCAACTGGAAGCGCGGCTACTACTACGGCGACCTGCCGCCCCACGCCGGCATGAAGCTCGCCCGCGGCATCGCCACAGTCACCTACCGCTCCGGCCCCGAGTGGGAGCAGCGCTTCGGCCGCCGGCGGGCCGACCCCAGCAAGCCCCCCGCCCTGTGCCCCGACTTTCTCGTCGAGACCTACCTCGACCACGCCGGCGAAAAGTTCTGCCTGACCTACGACCCCAACAGCCTGCTCTACGTCAGCAAGG